GTGGTGATGTATTATGTTCTCCAATATACTGTGTCTCCCAATAAAATTTACCTGAGGATCAGAGGAAAAAGCTACTATATTAACATAGAAGTCAGGCAATGATAGCACACACCTTTAATCCTGTCACTTGGGAGGCAGGGATCTGTCTGTATCTCTGTGAGTTCAAGACCACACTGGGAACAGAGCCAGGTATAGTGGTAGGCCTTTATTCCCACCACTAACCATAGAGGTCTGGAAGTCTGTACAGACAGACAGGAAGTGACAGAGCTGGACAGGAAGAGGAAGTGATGTAGCTGGACTGAGAGAGCAAATGAGAGAACAGGACAGAAAGGCATATAGGTGTGGGTAGACAGGTAGTAGCTTGCTTTGGAAGCTGCTGAGTTGGTGAGGTGAGGTTACCTGTGGCTTTTCCTATTCCTCTGATCTCTCTCAAGCTTTAACCCCCAATTTTGGATCTTTGTTTTTTATTAATAAGACCATTCAGCAATTTGTCTACAAAGAACAGGCTTCTAAGTAATAACAACAAAACATTAGCAAAATGAAATATAATAAGGTAAACAAAAACCATCACATCAAAGTTGGGCAAGGCAAACAAATAGAAGAATCCAAGAGAAGGCATAAGAATCAGACACCCATTCCATTACACACTCATAAATCCCATAAAAATACTAAACTGAAAGCTAACACATATATACAGAGGATCTGGTACAGACTCCTGTATGCCCTGTGCTTGCTGCTTCAGGTCATCTCTTTGAGTTCATATGAGCTTTGCCCAGTTGACTTAGAAGTACTTGTTCTTCTGGTGTCCTCTTTTTCCTCTGGCTCTTATATTCTTTCTGTGGAGTATCCTGAATTATGAGGGGAGGAATTTGTTGGATGGAGAAACCCCATTTTCAGCTGTGTGTTCCAAGGTCTCTCTCTCTCTCTCTCTCCTTCACTCTGCATAATTTCTGGCTATGGGTCTTTGTATTTGTTCACAATTGTTGTAGGAGGAAGCTTCTCTGATGATGGTTAAATAAGGCACTAATTTATGAGTACAGAAGAATATCATTAGGAGTTATTATATTACTTTATTACTTTTTTTTAAGACCAGTATTATTTGGTAATACCTGAAGTCTCTGGGCTATCTAGTCTCTCGTTCTGGGTTAACCAAACAATGTCTAGTATGGGTTCCATCTCCTGGAGTGGTCCTCAAGTTAAATCAGACATTTCTTGATTAGTCCCATACAATCTGTGCTACCATTGCCCTAGCATATGCTGCAGGTAAGACAGCATTGTAAATCAATAGGTTTGTGGCTGGGTTGGCATTTAAATATCTGTTTAGTTGCCTGCCAACTACCTTCCTGTACCAAAGACACTAGATCTTTTGGGTGAAGCTTCTATGTATGCACTAGCTCAACCTGTTCATGTTCAATGAGTTGTGTGGATATTGTCTTCAGCAATAGGGCCTTCTGTCAGTTTTTGGAGAACAATCTAGTGTCTTGACAACAGCCTGGGATGCTTGAGGGTTTCCGTGGGACCTTGGGCCAACAATTCAATTAGATGTAACCCTGTCCCGGTACTAGAAACTTTATTTGGTGACAAAAGATGGCCACTTGCAATTCTGTCTCCATTATTTGGAGACTTCTTCTTCTTTAGTATCATTTATTTTAGAAAGTTCTCATTGCACTTCGTTTCCAAATGCCTTTCAGTTATCGATGTCTCTTTCTTCATTCCTTCCTTCAACCCCATCTCCCGTCCCGCTCCCCACCTGATCCTTTCATTTCCATCCCCCCACCCCCAGTAAACTCATAAAATCTATTCTATTACCCCTCCCTGGAAGATCCATGTGTCCACCCTATTCTCTTCACTGGGTTTATGGTTTGAGAGAGATAAGAGTTCATCAGTGAAGAATGATAGCAAGCAGTAGGCATAGCAGCATGGGCAGGAAGCTGAGAGCCACATCTTGTATCATAAGATCAAAGCAGAATAAAACGGAAATAGGTAAAGGTTATTAATTCTCAAAGCCTAACATCAATAACATACTTTCTCCAGCAACCCTATATCTCCTAAACCTCCCCAAAGAACACTACAAACTGGGAACCAAGAATTCAAGTATCTGAGCTTATAGTTACTATGGGTATCTTGCAGTGTAGCTGGATCTGCTCTCCTCTGCAGAGATTAGCCAGCAGTGTCAAGTTCAACTCAAAGAAAATCTAGTAATTTCTTTAGTTCTTCTCTCAATGTGGCTTACATTTTTTTCCTGCCAAACAAAACTAATGCTTTTCTTGAGAGTATCTTAGTAGTTTTGAATGCAGTCACCCCTTTCACATCTGTTGTTGGAGATATTTCATTTTGCATTATATGTATTTTTTTCAAGTTCCATCCATTTGTCTGCAAATTTCTTTATACCATTTATTAACACCTAAGTAATACTCCATCATGCAAATATACATTTTCTTTATCTATTTTCTGAAGCTGGTCAGTGGTGGAACATGCCTTTATCCCAGCACTAGGGAGGCAGAGGCAGGCAGATCTCTAAGTGTGAGGGCAGCCCAGTGTAAATAGTGAGTTCTAGGGCAGTCAGGGCTACACAGAGAAAACCTGTCTTTAAAAAAGAAAGCATGTAGTTTAAATGAACTTTTATCACTTACCATTTTGACAAGTGAAATTGCTTTCTCCAAGAGCCATAGACCACCTAACTAAATATCCCCACATCAAGCATGAGAGGTCTTCTGAATTTTCCATCAGGGCTGTCCAAGAAACTCCCAAAATATACAGGCTTTGCTATTGCCCTTCACTGTACCTGAGGTGAAAGGTAAATCCCTTTTGTTGAAGACATCATGAACTTGAGAAACAAGACCAGAGACCCCTGAACTGGAACTGAATTGAATGCCTCCTTCCTGAGAACTAACGTTCATGGTACAAGAAGCAAGTTTCAAATGGAGGGAAGAAAACAATAGTCCTACCTAGCTACGACATCTCTGAACTGTAGCATCAATCCTAATTGATTTTACTAAAACTCCAGAGCCAGATATTGGGGTAAATTCTAAAAGATCCGAGAGATAAAGGAGCCATCCACTAAAAAGAGTTCTTACCTCTACTGAATCCTCAGGCTAAAAGGGCTGAGCTCCTTTCTCCACCCTGCCTTAAAACTCTCTCTCTCTGTCCAGCCATGTCACTTCCTGTTTCCTCCTCCCAAGTGCTGGATTAAAGGTGTGTGCCACCACTGACTGGCCTCTGGTGGCTAGTTCCACACTCTGGTCTCCAGGAAAGGTTTATTTGCTAAAGCACAAACAAAATATCACCACAGAGGTGACCAGCATCACACAATTAACTCCAACGGTGCTGTAGACACACCTTGGCAGGAATGAACAGCCCTATAATTGGATTTAAGACCAGTTCGAAAAGAGGGAAATCATTGCATGGTGATGGAAACCTAGTGAAATGCCAAAAGCATTCTACAGTTAAGCATATTCTGACTATTCTGATTCTGATACTAACCAAAGCTGGCATCAGGATTTAATGAGTAGAGCTTAGGCCAAAGATGTCTTCCCTTAAGAGGCCATATTACTTAAACCTATGTCCCATTTGAATGGGACTGTGAGTTAACTCACAATATGTCCAACTTGACTACAAAGTCAGAGACCTCTGAGACTCTCTTCTGAAACTGATTATTTCCTAGAATGACTCACAAAACTGGGGTAACATTTTTTTTTATCACAGGATTACTATACAGAACACTGGTGAACAGTCAAAAAAAGTTTACAAAGTAAGATCCAGAAAGATCCCAAATACAGTTGTGTCTATTAAGGAGAATACATTCACCAACTTGGAAATTATTTTTTTACCAGATTTCTATTATTTAATATTTTGGTGGAGGCTCCATTCTATCATATATAATTAAGCAATTAGCTATTAGTGAATATCTCAACATCACACTCCCCTACCCTTGGGGAGGTCAGGTGGGCAGGCTTGAAATTCTTATTCATGGAAGTCCTGATTGTTTTCCTTTGCATGGAGTGCCTCATTAGTATTCTATTACTGTCCTACAAGAATACCCTAATTAGCATAAAGCCTATTATGGAAAGGGGCATATCATGAATGACAAAAGATCATTCTCCTACTCTGTTGCAGAGAAACTTTCAAGGGTTTTAAAAACACTTCACTCTAGAAATTATTAATCAAGTAAAAATTTGTAACATCACAACATCATATATTTTTATGGGAGCATGACACTATCACTTTCATTTCAGTCGAGTTAGGGAAATGGTAAAGATCTTATCTATTTCAGTCTTCAATGTGTAGCACGCCAATCTTTCCACTAGGTGTTGAATATTTTACGGAACTTTTTTTCCGTAAATTTTTAAAAATGTGACTTTGATTATGTATTGACCACTGCTTAGGCTGTACCCATGTTTGCTTTTAGAGACTTCAGTCTATTTCCATCATAGCTCATGTTTTGGTAGATAAATTGCTTCATTACTGTCAGCTCAAGTGTTTCTGTAGACTATTCATTTCCAATGGTTGACCCCATGTAGTAGGAAGGGATGATTGTTTTTACTTAAGTGCTTTACTTAAGTGGGTTTTTGTGTGACATGCTTTTATAAGGAGAATATTGACCATTAAATTGTATGATAAGAAAAAAAGAAGAGAGGAAGATATGACCGATAAATTAACAGTGAGATGGTGAGGGCTAGAGGAAATACTTTTTAGACTTATAAGAACAAAATCCAGGAGTTTTTCAAAAATTAGCATGTGTCCAAAGCAACTGAAGGGCTTGTCAAAATGGGTATTGCTAGCCCAAGCCCCAGAGATTTTGGTTGCTTTCTGAAAATTTACATTTATATCAAAGTATAGGTGATATTGATGTGCTAATTAGGGAATCTCACTTCAAAAATCCGCTGTGGCACTATGACCTAAATCCTACCTACTTCTAGGCCAATGGCACGAGGAGAATTAAGAGTATATAGATTTGAAGCAAGAATAACTATAAATAAGGAAGAAAAACTATTTAGTCATCTATTTTGAATGTCTTTCTTCAACTTTTATTTTTATAAAAAATTCCAACCATTATACTATAAAAATACAAACATCTTTATACTTTATTTATGTATAAAAAGAGATGTTTTTCAGAATATTTTTACATATACTAGTTCATTTGCTTCTCCTTGGAAGACATTTAAGTTCATGAACAGGTTATTATCATGATACAAATGAAACCTAAAGATAAATGATAAATTCTATGTCCACATGGCTGAGAAGTATCAGTCAGAACTACTGTCCATTTTCTCATAAATACTATATTGTTATTCCTACAATACTATCTTTAAAATAAGATGAACATTGGAACTCAGGAGCTACTTATGTAGAAGACTTAATGAGTACCAATATATAAATGTAATGACCCCTAATGTTTGGCATGTGATTTAAGTAAATCAACAGAAATCAGAAGTAAGCAGTTATGCACTCAATTGTTTTAGCTGTCAACTTTACACTACCTAGAATAATCTGAGAAGAGAGTCTTAGTGAATGAATATTTAGATAACTGTGGCCTATGGACATGTCTGTAGGGAGTTATCTTGAATATATATGGAGACTAAGTCATATAAATGTATATCGATCCATGTGCAATTGTTTATGTATTTTTGGTGTGTTCATTTCTCTTTTCGTTTTCTGCTAGAAGAAAGTTGTATCCCACAGATTAATTCTTGATACAATTGGCCATTCCAGCTTGTCTATCAATACCTGAAAGAGAAAAGGAAAATGGATATTAATTTATCTCTAATGTTAAAAAGAAAACTTTAATTACATACCCATTTTAATAATGTAAAAGGGGGTTAATAACTTTGAAATCTAATTTTGTTTCTCAGGAATAGCAACAGAAACCCTGACTTACTATTTCAGAAACCATTAAAGACAATAAGGGGTAATGTAGGTCATATATATATATATATATATATATATATATATATATATATATATCAAAGAACAAAGTTAAGGAATAGAGAAGTAGGTATAGGATCAAGCTCTGATGCTAGGTAAGAGTAGGGTGATGAAAGGTGGGAAGTTGAAGAGATTAAGATGAGCCAATGGGCAAATACTTCACTCACCCTGGGTAAAGACCATTATATAACCATGAGGAGGCACTCAAACCAGTACACAGGCCATATGTAGGCAAGCACATAGAAATATGGGAAGATACATGCAGGCAAGATGGGAAAGGCAATGGTTCAGTCTGCAGCCTCTAAACTCAAGTCCCATATTTACATAGAACCAACACAAAAGTTACTTTCTGCCAAAAATAATTATGTAACATATTATATCACCGTTACATTGGGAGCTCTCAGAGATCCAGTGTCAGGCAATTTATGCTAATTCACAGCCCATAAGGTGTCTAATGTCAGCCATGTTTTAATGGACTCATGCTGTACATCTGTAGTAGTTCCATATTATCTAAACACGAACTGGTTCTTGTGTCCTTCTATTTCCAACATCCTATGACTTTTAGATAACTGGTGTTTTATTAAAGTAGGACCTACTAAGATGCTATTTAGACTCATAATCCATAATTACTGTGTAGAGAATAACCGTATCTCCTCTATGGATTCTCACTCAGTAAGTTTTTCAGGCTCTCTAGCCCTGCAGGCTCTCAGACCCTCCATGCTATGTAGGTTTCCTTTGTTCTCAGGCCCTAAGGTTCCCAAGTCTCTCAATTTTGTACACACATGGACTGGAGGGCTTACTTAATGACTACTAGTCATTGAGTCTTTGATGCAGCCAGTGGCTGTGCTAGCTAACCTCTGTTTTTCTTTAACTATCATCAGATGGTCACGTTGTTACTTTATATGTGGTTCATGGAGCCTAATAGAACTCTCAGTATTTGAGGCATCTTTCTTCTCGGGGAGCATATTTTGTATTACTATATGTGTTTGCTTATCTTATGCCCTTCTAGAACTCTTTGGTTAGGGAATAACTACTTAGTGCCACCTCTTTAGAACAGAAAACTGAGACCCTGGTACTCTTGAGGACTTCATCATCTACCCCCATGATTTTATAGCAGACACCTGGGCAGCTATTAGACTCAGAACAACAAATTCAAATCTTTGAGAGAATCAGAGATTTGTATTTGTATATTGTCATTAACATAATGATACAAAGTGATGACCTTGGGCTATTGCCTAGAATCAAGTTATGTGTCATCAAACTGTGACAAATTGTGGGGCTTCACAGATTTCTTTTGGATAGTATGATATGATAGATGTCCAACATAAACTTTTCCAGGTGAATAAAAAGAGTTCTTGATCCACTATACCATGATATTGACTCCAAATCAGATTTGTTTATCTGAAGGATATTTGTTTATCCATGAAGGATAGCAAAGCAGCATGCATAGGTGGAGTCACCATATTTACTTCTCATTGCTCACAATCGTTCCAAGTTTTTTCTGGTTTCCACACTGACCATGTAGATGTGTTGTAGTATTATGTGTTACTCATATTAAATTAGCATGTTCCCTGGGAAACACATGGATCACTGTTCCTATGTTTGGCAAAGCTTGCAGAGATAGTGATGAGGAAGGTCCCTGTCCATTGGTTTCACAGTCCACATTTGCAGTTTGAGTTCTCTGATAGTTGCTTGAAATGTTGCCAACACTCACAGAATGTCCACAGTTAGGACATATTCCACTACAAGGAAGCATACACTGAGTATGACTGGGGGAGGGTGACAAAGAGGGCAGATATCCAAAGAGACATTTATGAATTTGGCATTGATTGACCTAGAGCCATTTATGTATGATGCAAGAAAAGCTTTTAAGGTTTCTGTGGACTAAAATATAATCAGTTCTATCAACCACAAATGCTGAACACCCTTTGTACATTAGTGGAGAACCAATTAATAATGGGCATAATGTTTAATGTCTTCTATAAGTCCCCACTTGATGAGGCCCAAAGTACTTGTCTTTGTCTGGAGAGGTTTCACATCCAGGACCCTTTTCATGATCCAGGGCAGAGCCAGCATCCACAGTGTGCCTAACTACAGGGTATGGGTATTCTCTGCAGACCTATTCACTGAGGTCCATTGTTTCTAGCACAGGAAATGCTCTACTTGCTACCTGCACTGCTAAAGGTAATGTTACAACATTTTGGGAGTCTGACATATATTTCACTCTTGAACTACCTCTAATAAGTCCCTCTATGAGGTTCCTTTATTTGTAGTCTTTGTCAACTTACCACATACTGTATGTACTACAACCATCATAGAGGTCATTAGCAGGTGTTCTTTACAGTTCTATGGTTGTGTCTTGCAGGCACCGCCTTTAAGTGGGGTGGTTTTGATGGAGCCCAATCTCTCTGTATACTGTGATGCCATCAAAATGCTATCTTCCGCCTCTTAGAGGTGTAGGGTTCAGCTGCTCCAAACTCTAAATATACTCCTTTTTTAAAAATATAAAAACATTCTTATTCAGATAATGCTGTAAATCACATATTCAAGTTTTCAAATTTTGTTTCAATTTGAAAATTTTACACCTTGACTTCTAACCTCAAAATGTCCTCAAGACCAGTTTTCTCTGCAGTTAAAAGAGCCAGTTAATTTTCCAAGCAGCCACTTTGCTCCTCTCTCAGAAGAATGTCCAACAGAATCTGAAGAGATACTCCCAGTGAGGTAGGGCAGTTGAATCCTTCTGACTATGCCAGACATGAGATCTAAGTTCCATTACTAGGAAAGGAGGAAACTCCCTAGAGGTTAGAAATTGAAGAGATCATGAGGAGCTGACAGAAAATAAGAAATACTCTGTTTACTCTGGGTGAAGGCCACTAGACAGGCAGACACCAGCAGATATCCAAGCACACATATAGAAGAGCACATAGGCTACAAGGAGGGAGAGACATAGACCTACAAGTAGATAAACATAGGCAGCATGGGAAGGAGCGAGGCCTAGGTTCCAGCCTATGACCTTGAAGCCATATTTATACAGAACCCACATAAAGCAACATTCTGCTAAGAATAGTTACATAAAAGATTATATCACTGCTTACTTTGGGGTCTCTGAGACATACAGTATTTGTTATTTGTGCAGACTCTAAACCCTTACTTAACTGTTAAATTAAGTATTTTAATTCCTGTAGCTGTTCCCAGACATTCTATGATCTATAAACTTAGAATCCTTGTTTCTGTCTGTGGTTTCTTTGTTAGTGCTCTATGGAGCTCATGTGCAGATATTTTTATACTTCCATATAAATAATTTTGACATAAAAGCCTACATGAGGTTTTGAAATTCTTCCAGTACTTCCCCCTATACATTTCAGCACTTCAATTTTGTATACAGTCAAGATAATTACAGCTGTCATTGTTAGTACCACTGTAATGAGAAAAATAATTTTCTGGGGTGCTTTTTTAATAATACAGATGACTCTCAACCTGTAATCCTAGATTTCTAATCCATAGGTCTGAGATAAATACCAGCCATTTGCATTTCTAACAAGAATCCTGGTGATTGTGATGGAAGTGGTGGCCCACAGGTTCAGCTCCCTGACAATTAAGTTCTGAGTTAATGATTCTTCATGGAAAGGATTCTGGGAGACACTCTCTACATGGATTCCTGAGGTGAGGGGAAAGGTTGGAAGAGAGAAAAGGTACACTATGGTACCTCAGTCTTCTATGATGAATTGGAGAGCTATAATGCTTATTAGAAATGCTGGAATTGGTGTAAGAACATGGAATGCTCCAGGGAAGGAAGCTGAGTGAGAAAAAGTCAGATTTTTACCTTGGAAATGACTGGACAGAGCTCTATATTATTTTTTGTTGTGCTGTGGTGCTTTTAGCCAGTGTACAAGTGAGGGTAGTGATTAGATTACTGTAGTTGGAGTAAAGTTCATTTCACTACTAAGCTAATTTAAGAGATCCATATGTGTCAAACATGTAACATTCAATGTGGATTTGTCCACATCTTTTTAATCACACTTACATTCCTGGGGAAATAGATACCATATGTCATGTAGGTCTAGCCCAGGTGCAGAACAAATCACTGAGGATGTAGTAACTTGGCTTTGTAACAAGAGGGTGAGGTAATAATGATTCTTACAAAAAGATGAAATTTTTGTTTTTAAATAAATTTACAGATTTGCGGGGAATTCAAACACATTTAGTTGAGACCATGTGAGGTGAAGCTGGTGTGTCTTCCAGGGGAAATAGCTGGGTAGTGAATTGTTCTTTTTGAGTCAAAGACTATCTACTGATAGCAGAAATCATTGAAAGACTCTGGACGCTGTGAAGCTTGGGAATATCTAAGAAGCACTTAAGTTTTTAGATCTTATAATATTTCATCCTAAGTAGAGCTTTTCTCATCAATAAGGAAGTAAACTATTGGAACATCTGGCTTATTTGCAACAAAGTAATTAATATTATGGTTATTGGAGTTTATAATATTATGATATCATTGTTACAAATATATTGGGAGAGTTCTTCAAATTATGTTCTGTTGTTCATCCCTTCATTAATTATGATGAAAAGGAAGAATGCTTAGATGAAGACATTTATACATACTCCATAGAGTGATGAGCCTTTGGAGTCATTTAATTCTATCTGAGGATCAAAACTCATTGTACTTTTCAGATTCTTGGTTAAAGGCTTTTGAAAAGTCATCTGGGTCTATCAGACATTGCTATACAATTTTGGCAAAATTTTAATATTATAATTTGACTAAAGAGAAAGTATATTAAAGAGTTTATTCAGTATGAAGAATGCATGTTTCAATTAAAATATAGTTAAAGCTACTCATGTTTATTGTTACACTGAAGAATGGATTTATTTATAAAAGGTCACTGTTTGAGGGCTGGGGAGGTAGCTGAGTAGCTAAGTGGCTGAGGTGCTTACTGCTGTTGCAGGGATCTTGAGTTCCTAGCACGCATGTCAAGCATTTAAAAACACATGAATCTCTAGCCCAAGGGGATTGGATTCAACACCCTGTTCAGGACTCTTTGAGAAACTACATTATGTGTACACACCTACACGTGATATACATGTGGATATATATATGAGTTTTCTTGGCATTCATTGTATGTGTGTTCACACACGTGTGAACATGCACATGCATGTGTGTTCATGCTATAGCATACTTGCGGAGGTCAGGATAACAAAGTGTAGGAATTTGTACTCTACTTTCTGTGATGTGGGTATCTGGGATTAACTCAGATAATAAGCTATATTATCCTTTTGGAAGATATATTTTACTTTTAACTATGTGTATGTGTATGTGTGAGGTCTGTGCACATCCATTATTTTAGGTGCCTACATAAGAAAGAGTATGTGAGAACACCTGGAGCTGAAGTTACAAGCAATAAGGACCCAGCTGATATGAATGCCAGGAACTTAACTCTAGTCTTCTCAATGTTCCGAATGCATTTTGAGACTCAGGGTCAATCTTCTGTCCAAACTATATTTTGAAAATGTGTTTTTACTCACCAGTGGTCTTTCAACATGTATGAAGATACTGTAGTTTTTGTATTGAAAGAGCCATTAAAAATTATCTGCTGTTCTCACTTGTAAGTAGTTTGTAAATGGTCCCACTAGAGAAGAGGAGCATGAAAGCAAATAAATTATCACCTTCATATAGATTGTCTTCTCTGTGCCAGTAATAATAGAAACACTTGTCCAGTGAAACTCAAGATATAATAAAGTTAGCAGACTTCTACTTACAAAGTACAGCAAACTTATAGGACCATATCTGGATCTATTAAACAAGGGATTAAATATCTTTTCCCTGACAATAATAAAGGGTTTAGATGCTTTAAGAAATGAAAAAGTGAAAGCATGAACATAAAACTATAAAATTAAATTTACATTGTGAAAATGAAGTTATAAACAGGAAGTCCAATATCTGTCATATCAACTCTATTATATATGTATTCAAATATATATATAATACATATTTAAATCATCATATCATTTGGTTGAGTGTATTACCTCTAGGTGGTTTTATTTATATTTTTAAAAGCTAGAAAATTATTTGGAATTGAAATTGAAAAATCCAATGTAACTGGCAATTTATAAGAGTATCAGAAAACTTATACACACACACACACACACACACACACACACACACACACACACACACACACTTTGATAGTCTTAATCCCTCCACAGCTGGCCTCTGGTTGAGGAGCTTATTTTACTTTACAGATATCCCAGCTTGCGCCTCGTTACAGAGAATGGGGGACAAAGGCAAACTGCTGTGTTATAATCAAAGCTATCAACAAATGAACATCAGATGATCCAGGAAAGTTATTCACAAACCCTCTGACATGACATGTAGATTCCAGGTGTACGTTTCAAAAAGTCAAAAATATAAAAGAAGAAAAAGTAAAATGAAGCCTAAAAATTGTTGAATTAAAAAAGAAGAGAAAACACATCTAAATTTGTCCAGAAAGTCCATCTTAAATGTTATCACATATGCTATCAAATAATGTCTAAAAAAAAGAGAGAAAAGAAACTAGCAAAGGAGTACAGCCTGTACAAAAGTCCTCACAGCAAACAATTTCTTCCTTTTGGTACCAGTGTTAATATCTTAAAAATAAGCTGCAGAATCCTTAAATGTACTTTTTCCAGGTCTACCTGGAGAATGCTTTAATTTTCAATGGAGTAAGGAAATCACCCTATGATTGGCACTTTACCTTTTCCAATTAAAAAGGGCTTAATGCCATGGCTGATTTGTTATAGATATGCATTGTACAGACAATACAGCTTAATATACAGTTGTTAATAAAATAGCAATTGTAATCTGGCTGTTTGATGATGGTGGTGTTTAACAATATCTAATCAATCTGTACATATAGAGACTACATATGATATTCAAATGTAAAGACAATTACATCACATATAGTATATGATCCCATCTCTCTCTCTCTCTCTCTCTCTCTCTCTCTCTCTCTCTCTCTCTCTCTCACTTGCTTTTGTGTGTGTGTATAACTATCTCAAATAATTTTATTATAACCTCATCTATAAACAAGTTTATTTTCCTTCATTTTGCTACCATTCTTTCTTAGTGAATAAGCACAAGTCTCAAGAGATTGTTTCTTAGACAACATCTTCATCTGAGACTCCAAGGATCTAACTGTAATTTATTTTTAACATATAATTACCTAGTAACTTATTTTTCTTTCCAAGGCTATAATTTTTTTTTAGTTTAACAAGCCTGTTTTATTTTACATTCTATATCAATAGCTAATGCTAGGAATGCAAGACAAGAAAAAACACATTCTAATTGACATGGAATAAAGAAATGGGGAATGGGAAAAGAAGAAAAGGAAGCAGTATGGATTTTAAAGTCATTTCTCTCTAACATTTAATTCCCAAAACATATAAATCTTTACTGGTTCCTTTCTAATATAAACTAAAATCTATACGAAGAATAATTTCAGAATTTTGTTCATTCTCCTATAACATAGGGAAAAAAGAAAGAGAACAGAGAATTAAGGTAAAAAACGAATCTATGGGTATCAAACCTAGGCAATGCTATGGCTCTGTGTGGGGGTCACATGGATATGATACAATGCACAGAATTTTGGAGCAGTAGGCCTCACTACTGACATCATTATTATCAGCTAGCAGCCTTGGCTACAGTTCCGTTAGAGGACTTTCTGTCATCCCAAAGAAATAATTTTGTGCTTAAAATAAAATAGACAAACTAGGGAAAGGCTGTTACTCTTCCAGGGCTTGTGATAATGTACAGTGGTTAATAGTTCACAGTGGCTATCATCTGTATTATACAAGGGAACATAAGAGAAAAATATGCAATGGATAACTGTATCAAACACATGAAAGGTGACTAGTGTATATAGAAGGATCACTGTATGAGAAACAGAACCATTCAGTACTTTCAGCTTCCTCCAAATTAAAAACTGATGTGATAAATGCTTTTCTGGAGAAAACTTCTCTAGCTACATGCTCAGAATTAGCTCTAACCAGAGCAAACAGAAATAGTAAACTTATGGGAGTCTACCTGAGCATCCCAGGGTCACTGGCAAATGATTAGGGTGAGTAAATAGTAGATAAATGGTAAGCATGCATATTTTTGTTGACAAACAAGTGAACAAAGATGGGATGCAAATCAATACAATGACTAACAAATGGCTAATTTGCTGTCCTAATGGTATTTTTAGAAGCAAAATATTAGGGGGCTTTACAGAGTTGGGTAGAAGCCCGATGCAAGGGAAACTTCCAAGTCTACAAGGATGGCCTGAGCTAAGACTCCTGGCCGCAATGAATCTATAGCCTGAACTGGCCATCCCCTGTGATTGGACTGGTTTCTACCCTGGTTGTCATCAGTGAGCCTTCATCCAGTTACTGATAGAGGCAGATTCAAAGACCAATGGCCAAACTTTGAGCCACACTTAAGGATTCCTGTTGAAAAAGGAAGGATTGTAGGAAACAGGATGGCCAGGAACATCACAGGAAAACGGACAGACACCACTAGCCTGACTCATGGGAACTCACAGAGTGTGAATGAATAGCCAGGGAGCCTGCATGAGACCAACCTAGGCTCTCTGCTCATATGTGACACATGTGTAGTTTGATCTATATGTGGGACTCCGAGAATGGAAGCAGGGATGTCCCTGGTTCTTTATTGGCTCCTGGGAACATATTCCTCATGCTGGATTGCTTTGCTCAGCCTGAATACAGGTGGAGATGCTTGGTCTAATGGCAGCTTGATAAGCCATGCTTCGCTGAAGCCCATGGAAGGCTTGCTCCTTTCTGAGCGATTACCAAGGATGGATGACTTGAGGTGGGGTGGGGGGGAGGGGGGAAGGAATGGTAGGAGAGGAGGGAGGAGAGGCTTCAGTTAGGATGTAAAATAAGTATTAATTTTAAAAAAGGGTGTTATTTCTGAAAGAAAAGTGAGAGCCATTTTGCCTGTGAAAAACTTGATACAAGATTACATTAGGTTTTTTGAAGTTAATTTTTGTTTTTAAATAATTAAGACACATATTTACAGTTCCTCTAACTAGAAAAATTAACCTTTGTAATGATTTCCTTGAGGTTGAATGAAGTAGACATGGAACAAAAAGTTGAATTTACCCTCTTGAGTAGAGAGATTCTTAACCTCATTCATAAAAATTACAATTTTAACTTTTGTGTGATGGTGAAAATTAAAAATAAAATACATAATTATAATATATCTATTTTAACTATAAAAAATATGAATCTTGTGAAGTTTCTTCTCCAGTTTTACTGTTTCTTCTCTTTTTTTTCAAAGTATGTCTTCTAATTCAATTGATTGAAGATGAAGTTTCAATCCAGGGTCCATGTAAAACTTGCAGTTGGTAAGTGGAGGGAATTGGCACTCTCTTTATTTTTTATTTTATCTATTGTATATGTTTTTAAATAAATACATAGGCTTTGAGTTATCTGCATGTACAAACTCTCTTTTATATTGAAACCAGGTGGTTCTGTGATAGTTGGGACTGTCTCCATCCTTTGGTAAAGATTTCTACCATAGAAGAGAACAATGTTGATCATTTGGGGATTTCATTTCGATAATAAAATTACTTGGCTGAGTATTTTGATATTTTTCTTGGTAAAAGAATTTGCTATTTATGCTCATTTGAAATGAAAAAGATACTTCTGGCAGAAGCCTTCTCTTCCCCTACAGGCCAGGCCAGCATTCTGAACTTCAGGTAATACTAACCGCTATCCTACCTTGCCCTGCACTTACCCAGCATTATTCCAACTGACCCTCCTCTCCTCATCACCATATTCTAGCCCACACCTCTGGTGGAAGCTTTACAACCCATCAGAGGCCAGGTCAGTTTTCTGAAAACAAGGTAAGCCACTACCCGCCAAACCCCCACCTGTCCCATCCACCAAAACCCCAAGTACCCCTTCTCTGCTTGCCAGTTGATGCTACCCCACACTTCTGGCTGAAGCTTCTCACTCCTCAGAGGCTAGGCCAGCATCCTGAACCAGGCCAGCAGTTAAGACTGCCTCCCCACCCTACCCATGCCCACCCAACAGAATTCCAACTGCCCCTCCTCTCTTTGTCACCAAAATCCAAGCTCACACCTCTGGCGGAAGCCTCCTTTTCCACTTGGGGCCAGGCCAGAATCCTGATCTCCAGAAGCCAGACCAGCATCCTGAATCCCAGGGGCCAGGCCAACTACCTGAAAATCAGGCAGAAGCCTCCTACGCCACTAGAAGCTAGGACAGCATCTGAACCCCAGATCAGAGGCTATACACACTCATAGTCAGAATTTCAGCCCCAAACTTCAGTAGCAACCTGCTGCTAGCCTAGAAGCCATCCAGACCATCAGAAATCCAGTCACCAATGTGGACAGAGATCCTATACTCAGCCACAGGCCACAGGATCCAGAAGACCAGAGAGGAAAAAGAAAGTAAGGAAGAAAACACCCATCCAACAAAGTCAAATCCAGAAATTGGCAGCTAGGCCTATAATCACTTCAAATCCAGATACCTAAACCTAAGTATAAGAACACAAATAACAACAGCCAGGGCAACATGTCACCACCTAAGCCCAACCATCCCACTATGGCAAGCCCTGAATATTCCAACA